CTTCTCATGGGTGTGGTGTGGCTGTGGGGGCCGACGTCCACCGCCCCACTCCCCATGAGCGGACGGGGTGCGACATCCACCCCCTCCACCCCCCCCCTCCTCCTTTTCGGCCGCCTCTCGCCGGGCCCCCGTCGATCGGGTGATCACCGCCCCCCCGCGCCCTCTCTGAGGGAGATATCTGAACGGCTGGCTTACCACCGCCGAGTTTATCCTGCACACGCCGAACGCTCATCAACAGAAACGGCGGCGGTATGAATATGCACACCCCCCCCCCTCCCCCCCGCAGGTGGATAAGACTTAATCCGCTGTGCAAACAGGGGCTAAGGATGGCGGAAAAGGAACGGCGGGGATAGGGCTATGGGGCACGCCTCACCGTTAACGCTATTTCTGCTGTGGAAACGTGCTGCGTTAAGCGCGCACGCGCCTCACGCCGGGCACACCGTCTCTCCACGTAGACGCGCCACACACAGAAATCACAGACGCTATGCCGAGGTTCTGCCCACACATACAGAAATCACGCTTCACTGATTTTCTGTACTAGAGTTTATTTATGGCGCCAATACGCATTATCCGGAGGAGGAATATTTCGTGAGGAGAGCCTAGCATAAATCTGCCTGCGAACCCAGCTACTCAAACGTCCTAACACGTACCTTTAAACTGGACTCTTGGCGTCCCACGGACGCTGAGAGAGTCGGAGGGAGAAGGACGAGAGAAGACTTGCCCAATCACTGTCTCGCAGCAGCACTCGCTGGCATCGCATGGATGCTGTGAGCGGCTTGAAGAGGCAGGACGGCAGACAGGGAGTGGGTCTTCAAGGCTCGGAGGTTGTAGACAACTGACCCAATCGGATTAAAACCCAATGTGCCAGGCAACTCCCCGCTAGGACACTATATAGGTGGGCTGCTGGCGGAGTTGCTCCACGGTCATGGCACCACATGGCCTACTTTTTCCACGCTGCAAGGCCATATCTCTAGCCCCTGAAGTTTATTTGGCATGTTTAACCATTCCTACAATCCTCAATCTCTTTCTGTCTCTCAATGTCCTTGCGTTCGTTTGGCTGTCACCCAGAACTGCCTGCTGGAAGGCTTCATCGGACTCGGGTCAGCGCTCATGGCCATCATCGTCCTCCCGGCGGATTCGGCGAACCTTCTCAGCAGCATCCTCCTCCTCAACGGTGTCACCCTGGTGCCGAGCGCGCTGCAGTTCGCCGGCAGGTGGACGGGACGCAGGAAGCCGCCCCGGACGTCCAAGCTCCTGAGTCTGGCCTCCATCTGCTGCTGTCTCGTTGCCTTCGCCCTGTCGGTCGCCAAGGCGGTGTTGGTGGTGCCCGGCAATGGCTCCACGGAGGAAAGGTTCGCTCATCTGGCGCTGCTGCTGGTGAGCCTGCTGCTCATGTCCCTGTCGTGGTGGGAGAACTTCCTGCCCGCCGGCTGGCTTCAGGGATTCCGCGATGCCGTCGGCGAATCGCGGAACCTCGCCGAGTTCTACGGGTCGCTCGTGCGCACGCTCATCATCGTGGCGGTCGTGCTGCTGGACGCGGGCGTCGAGGGCAAGTGGAGGAGCTTCGGCGCCATCAGCGGCATCACTGAACACCGCGAGAGCATGACGCTCGCCCTGGCTCTGCTGGGCGTGCAGGCGGGCGCCTCCATCCTCTGCAAGTGGCTCGCGAACGCCGCCTGCAAGATCCGCCAGCAGGGGAGCTGCTTCGCCGCGCCGCTCTGCCTCGCCACGCCCGCCGCCCTGGCGGTCGTCTTCGCCCTCCACCTCATGCTCAATGCTTCAGGCGACCCTCGCTACAGATGCGAATCAGTCCAATGGCATAACGGCTCCGAACGGACGACGTCCGCAGCCGCCTCATTCTTTTATAACCACACGGCCGCCTCATTCTTCTATAACCGCACGTCTGCTGCCGTCTGCTCGTTTGTGGGTGCCGACGAGGACTCCGTGGTGGACGCCGTGGCCACGTTCGGCGCCGGGGCTCTGTGGTTGGCGGCGCTGCTGCTGGCGGCGGCGCCGGCGTTGCGCCCGGGTGGTGCGACGCGCATGGAGCGCACACGCGAGCTCTTTGTGCGCCGCACCCCGCAGCCCGCGTGTCTCGTCGCGGGGCTGCTGCTCAACCGACGGCAGCAGGAGGAGGAGGTGGAGGAGGAGCAGATGAGGTCCGTCTGTTGGTGTTGGTACGGCGTGGTGTGTACACGTGTGTGACTTGATTTGTGTGTGACACGGTGTGTCTGTGAGTAGGTGAGTTTGTCTGAATAGATGCATTTGTTACTCGGTGTGTCTGTATGTGACTAGGTGTCTCTGTGAGTAGGTGTGTGTGTTTGTGTGTGTCTAGGTAGGCAGTGGCAGTGTCGCGGTTAGCACCCTGTGCTGCGAACCGGCAACCCGAGATCGATTCCTGCTCACGGCCAACATCAGGGACAATTATCTAAACCGGTCATGGTCTTCCTCTAGGTCGACTCAGCCTCAAATGAGCACCTGGTTTGGTGTGTAAACATCACCACTGGGGAGACAAAGACGGCCGGGCGTGGTGTTGGCTACCCACCCCCTTGTGCCGGCCTTCATAGGTGATCGCTAACATCACTTGCCCCAATAGTCTGATCAGGCTATACGGGGGATCTTTGTTTGCTTGTTGTAGCTATGTTTGGTGGGTGATTGTTGGGCATAATATGCCGCCAACACTTTGGTTGAGCAGGTACTTCCAGTCAGGGGCCAACAGGGGGCAATAGCGAGTCCGGCCTGTGCTAAGCAGGACTCGTGGGTCAGGCATTCCGGGAAGGACGGTTGCGAACCGGAGGGGGACACCCCAGGCCCCCAGGCGGGGGGCTGGGGAGGATGTCACAACAATCCAGGTCCCTCGAAAAGGTTCCAGATGGTGGGCGTGACCAGGGGCGGGGTGACCCTGGGAGCCCCATAAAATCCGGACCCCAGAGTGGCTGGATTCAGTTTGCCTCAAGCCGAAGACCCAGAAGCCCACATGAAGATAGGGCCCTGGACCCCAAGCCCCGCCGTCCTGATAAGGCCCGGGGCTCAGTGAGGCCAGTGGTCAATAGGCTAGGACCCTGAGGATCCCCCGACCCGACACCCTTCACAGGGCCGGGTCTGTGTGGGCCAGGGTCGAGACCCGAGGACCTTGGCTGGGTTGGGTCAGCCTCCCCTAGGTCCCGCTAGCCAGAGGGCTAAAGAGTGGTTAGCCCCATTAGTTAGGGCACGTTAGCCCGGAGGCTGTACCTCCTTAGGTTGTGGGTAGAAGGGGCCATTACCCCTTCGTATTAGGGACCTAGTGATACTGTTATCGTTGTTATAAATAAATACGTGTTGCCTCCTAAGAAGAACTCTGTCTCCATACAAACCCACTACATATGTGACTAGGTGTCTGTGTGACTAGGTGTGTGTCTGTGTGAATGGCCACAAATCCCCTGAAGTTTCGTTCTGGGCTACATAAGTACTAGTTGCTAACAACCCTTGCCCCAACACTCTGTCAAGGCTATATGGGCGATCTTTGCTTTTAGTGTGTGGTAGTCTGCTCGATGTATTTGTCTATTTTTCTTGTTTTGGGTGTCGGAGGTAAAGTATGATCAAATAATCCAAGCATTTTTTTTTTCAAAATGATGACAATTCGTGACGTTTGCCCTTCTATCATACAGACCAAATTATGTACACCCCACATTGTCCAATGCATAAAACAGAACCGCACTCTGCTATTCCCTGTCTCAATCCGAGTACGATGTCATGTGCTCGTTGAATCTTGTAGCAGCCAAGAGCAAGAGAGGGTGAAGATCTACCTGTGCGCGACCATGTGGCACGAGACCAAGGAGGAGATGACGAAGATCATCTCGTCCATCTTGAGGTAGTATATTCCCTACCGCCCGTTCCCATCAAGCGGCCGGATCCTACGGACCAGTGGGGGTCTCTCGTGAATATGCAGATGGGTATGGACCATTCCATTAATTTTGTTCGGTCACGGCACCGCGCGCTTTCAGATGCACTTCTGCGGCCATCTGGAACGCTCTTCCCTCCGATTTTATTAAGCCACTGGAGCTATGGACGTTTAAGTTATTTAGATTGACAACTCATTTATTCAGAACTGCTTTTTATGTTTAGTTTAGTTTATTGTCCTTCCCCTCCACATCCGATTAGCACGGTTGGGAATGTCGAGAACATTTGGCCTCCAAACGTGACAGCCATCAGCTAATCGTATTTAACGTGGGTCCATTCTTTGTATGTGACCATTGAGCGATGTTTGTGAATGGTGCAAGCTGTAATCTTCTCTTGATTTTAACACATATAGGCTGCAATATTATTACGATGCATAATACTATTGAGAGCCTGGACAGGCGAGAGCCTAAACAATTTTATAGCCTGGATAGGTGAGAGCCAAGACAGGTGAGAGTCTCCTTCTTGAATGTGGATAATGGTGCTTGGTTGCTCCTGCGTTTGCAGCAGTGGGAGATAAATAGAGAGAGAGTTCCAGACGACTGCTGACTGGTGCAGCTATGGAGAAACGCCACTCACCCAGAAGCTCGTGCCAGCTGTGGGTAGAGGTCGTTGTGAGTTGAACTCAATAGGATGCGGTGGCAGTTTGCTGTGAGGAAGGTGGAGGAAACGTTTCGGTGCGAGATCTTGGGAGAGCGCTCGATTGCAGAGGACAGCGATGCTTACCATGACCTTGACTCGATGGGGAGCGTGTGGCGGAATAACAATAACCACCCTTCCCCTTTGCCGCTGCCAGGCTGGACAGGAGTCAGCCGAAGGATCTGAACGTCGGTTCCGGCGGAAGAGGGAAGACGAAGAATAATGAGAAAAAGAAGGAGGATAAGGAGAGGAAGAAGACAGAGAAGAAGGAGAAAATGAACGAAGAAAAGGTGAAGAAGGAAGAGGAAAAGAAACAGAAGGAGGGGGGAAAGGAGGAGGAAAATGAGAAAAAGGAGAAGAAGAAGAAGCAGAAGGAGGAAAATGAGAAAAGGGAGAAGGAGGAGAAAAATGAGAAAAGGGAGGAGGAAAAGAAGGGGAAGAAGGAGAAGACGGTGAAGCGGGAACCGTACGACTTCTCGGCTCACATCTACTTCGACGACGCCTTCGAGAGGAAGGGAGATCACATGGTGCTCAACCAGTTCGTGACCAGCCTCATGGACGTCATCGCCGAAGTGTGCCGGTCAGTGCACCAGATGTTATTTTGTGGTAGTGATGAGCTGGGTGGAGGGAGGGAAGGATGGATAGAGGCACGGTTCTTCTAATAACGAAGCAAGGGACGGCACAGGGAAGTTAAGCTCAGCTCATGGTGTACGCGAGAACAAGAAAAGGATGGGAACCGCTTGCGAAGATGACTTCATTCAGAAGTGGATAGATCACGGTGAACGATGACGATGATTGGTGATGGTCAGGCAGAGATGACCGACGTGAGTGCGGATCGCATGGCTAGCGAGGCCTTGCGTCACCGTCACCGTTGTTGAGCACAGATCCGAAGGTGCACAAACTGACAATTGGCTGCCAAACAGAAACATAGTGGTGGGCGGTGTGATAGATGAGTGTTCACGCTCGTGTTTAATTGAGCAGGCAGCCTCATCTTTTTATGTACGTCCGTATGTACGTTGAACTACTTTCACACCATGCATAGCCAACCTTGCTCTAGAGTGCACAAGTCGCATGACATAATTTACAAAAAAAAACGGTGCAGCACTGGGGAGATAAAAGCAGGCGGGTGTGGTGGTGGCCACTCACCCCCTCGTGTGCCGGGCCGTCCTTCATGAGTGCTACTGGCTAACAGTCGTTGCCCCAACACTCTTGAAGGCTAAACGGAGGATCGTTGTCTTTTGTTTGTGCGTTGGTAAGAATTTGGGAAACGAGACGACTCAGTCTGGGCGACCGAGGCCCTCGATGCGGGTGGAGGAATTAATCTTCAAAATTCGTGGGAACAGTAACGATGGTTGTAGAAGTAGTAGCAATAGAAGAGCGATACGAAGGCGACTGACCTCCGGTGAGCCAGCGAGCGACTGGAGAGAATATTTGAGTGCTGGATCATTGGTCACCCACGTCTGCCGCTGCTTTATTCAATTCAGAATCAGAATTTGTATTTATATTGCAGGTGGAATTCGATGAGCTGCAAAGCTCTATTTCACAGATGTCCCAGCAGGGGCGGGTCAGAACGTTACATCAACAAACAATACAAAATAAAACACGATAGAAGTGCCAAGTATAGGACAGGTAAGCATATAACAAACGTCAAAAATTAAACTAAACAATTTACATTTTACCAGGTAAGACCCACTGAGGTAATAGCTTTTTTTAAGAAGCGTCCTGGCCACAAATTATAGCGCAATTAATTAGCTTATCACGTGGAAATGTAGAACAGCCAAATAACCTAAATAATCAACATTTTGTCGAGTGCAGCAGTGAGGTAACAACTGGGAACTTCATCCCAGATATTACAGCAGTAGCAGCAGCAACAATGCCACATAGTAATTGGGGCGTGTCTTCTTTGTCGCCTGCGCTGCTGCTGCTGATGTGAAGGTATTTTGAGAAAAACTCAAATCATCCACAAGAGGCGCCCTCAATGGAGAGGACTCAGACGCCGTACGGAGCGCGACTCTCCTACAAACTCCCGCACGGCAACTCGCTGTGCGTACACCTCAAGGACAAGGAGATGATCCGCCACCGCAAGCGCTGGTCGCAGGTATTTGTTGCATCCCTGGGCTTTGATCTTCTGCCCTAAAGCTCATTGGGCCACAAACCCTACAACCGCATCCACACACAGAACATAGTAGCAGCAACAGCTGATGCGCTTATACATGACGACGATGATGCACAATTGGAAAATTAAATATCTCCGGTCAGTGTCCAGCGATGATACGTATATAAGTCGTTCCATGTGCGCTGTTGAGTTACACTTGGGCAGGACGCGCCGTCATGGCCATTGTGTCGAGAATAATAACGGAGTGGCAGCCAAAGAATGGAACTTATCCGGGAGCGTTGGCTGCCGAGGAAATGGAGCGATGGAATCAGTCGGTAATGGAGGTGCTGGGTGGATAACAACTCAGGATCTCGTGAGATATCGCGACGACTTGGGTAGGTCCTAATCCAGTAGTGGATCGATCACGGCTGCTGCTGTTGCTGATGGTGATTGTTGTTATTAAACCCCTTGACGTGTTCTGTACAGGTGATGTACTTGTACTACCTCCTTGGCTGGAAGATCTACCGCAAGATCCACACAGTGAAGAAAGATAAACAAGAGGAATGGGTGGAGGTAAGGGTCTTGTAAACTGCAAAGACAACGATCCCTCATGGCCATTAACAGACTGTTGAGGCAAGTGCTGTTAGCGAGCACCTGTTAAGGGCGGCACGGCACGCGAGCGGGTCGTGTGTCCAACACCACGCCCATCCGCCTTTGTCTCCCCAGTGCTAATGTTTACTCATTTATGGCTAAGCCGACCTTGGGGAGGCCGCTTTCCACTTCCACTTGCCAGTATAAATGGGTAGACCCTGCACATTATGTGGATGGCAGTTCGCGTGCGGTGGGGTAGAGTGTGAGTACTACCCTCTCTTCCCCAAAGACGTGGGAGCAGTGTGGAAGTGTAGGCCAAATACACCCTGCTAGGGCACCGCTGTGGCGAGATGTTAACTACCTCGCTTGGTATGCAGGAGGCACCGAGTTCGATCCCGGCCCTGACACCTGTATATTTTAAGTTTGAGTATCTCTCTCCCCTTGGTCGTATGGATTTTTTTACCTGGGTCCTCCGGTTTCTCCCTCCACATTTAGAATCAACATCACGCATTTCGTGTGTTTGCTATAAATATACAAGTGATAATCCACTTTGTTGAGCTATCATTTGTGATAGCCAGGTCACTTCTGAAAAGAGCTAATAGCTCAGTGGGTCTTGTCTAGTAAATTTTAATTGTTTAGTTTGTTCGAGGGTCTCTCTCTCTCGGGCTCTCTCCCTCCGGGTGGAAGCCCAGTCGTAGCGTGCACTACACGTGTCTGTGCATGCAGAGTCGGCACAATTAGTCTATCTTTCTAGATTTGAAGCTTTCGTGACTGCAGGAATCCATTCCCTTTGGTTACTTTCCCGGCACAAATATGTCACTCAACGCGCCATCGTCACGTTTATACTCAGAATACCAACATAACTTTGTATACAATAAGAAATATATATATACACGTATTACAGTTTCAAATATAAGGGCAAAATCGGTGAATGGCTGAGAGTTTAACTTGTTTTGAACCGTACGTAGCCAATTATGCTAATCGGAGGTGCTGGGGCAGGACAACAAACCAAACACAAAAAGCAGTTCTGGAGAAATTAGTTTAAAATCTAATTGATGATTTAAAAGTGCATAGCTCCAGTTGCTTCCTAATATCGGAAGGAAGAGCGTTCCAGACGACCGTAGAAGTGCATCTGAAAGCGCGAGAAGCAGTGCCCATCTTTGTTCAATGGCTCACCAAAAGCCGCTGCTGCGAGGATGACTGGAGTTAGTTGTTGTTGTTCGCAAGCGAAAAGAGCCGCATTGTTGCTGTTGAGTTGTCACTGTTAATGAAGTGACGATGGAGTCGAGTGTGCGCACCGCTTCGGGGAGGTTGTTTCCAGAGGTTGGAGCGTTGCAGATGACAACGATCTCTCCAACCGCGTGGTTGTTTTTCAGAATCTACTGGATCTATGCACTTTTAAATAATCGATTTCGAACATTCATTTATTTTGAAATGCGGTTTGTGTTTAGTTTGTTGTCCTTTCCCGACGAACATGTTTGGCTACATATGGTGCGAAAGAAGTTCAACATACATACAATATACATTCAACATACATACAGCACACATACGTACGTTGTGTGTTTTGTTGTTGGAGGTTGGAGAAGGAGCGTTGGGGTTGAGGAGCAAAGTGAGCAGTTGCTTTGCTTGCTCTGCGCGAGGTCGCGGCTGTAATGCCACCGCTGATGCTGATCTGTCTCCGTGCCACTACTCCACGTTCACCACCACAGAGAAAGAAGCGCAACACCTACGTGCTGGCCTTGGATGGCGACACGGACTTCTACCCCTCGGCACTCTCCATGTTGGTCGACCGACTCAGGAGGGACCCCACCGTTGGCGCCGCTTGTGGGAGAATTCACCCGACGGGCGTGGGTGCGTAGACAGCTGTGGTGCGTGTGGTGCAGGATGCAGGTGCCCCAATGCGGTTTCAGGAAAGGGCAGTCCTGCACAGATGCCATTGTTTCTGTCCGTCTGCTACAGCAGATGTGTAGGGAATTCCAACAAGACCTACTTCCCTGCTTTATTTACCTTATAAAGGCCTGTGATACTATCAGTAGGCCTGGGCTCTGGGTTGTTCTTTGTGCTTTCGGAGTCCTTGACCCTCTGCTCACGATCATTAAGGACCGTCATGATGGGGAGCGGGCCCGGGTAAAACTACGTGGCTGGGAGTCGGAGCCATTCACTGTTCACCTTGGGGTGCGACAGGGATATCCTCTGGCTCCCACATTATCTTTTTCGACCACGTAGTTCGTGAAGCTTTCGATGGCTATACCGGAGGAATTTCCATCGAGTACAGATACAATGGGAGACTGATCGATGCCTGGGTGCGGTCAAGGGATGGCTCCATATTGGTCAACCATGTTATGTATGACGATGATCTGGTAATTGCTGCTCACTCAGAGGAGGAGTTGGAGGTGCTGCTGCTGAACCTGGAGCTTGCCACTAAGAGGTGGGGCCTTACCATCAGCCCCACCAAAACTAAGCACCTGCCTGGGTATTTTGTACCATCGGACTCTCCACCTCCACAACTCCCAATTGTTGATGGGGCTGTTGTGGAGAGAGTGGAGAGTTTGCCATACCTGGGCATGTTGCTCATGACTGGCTCCGGTTTGACAGCAGAGGTCTCATTCCAAATCAGTCGATCAGCATTATCTTTTCATCGCCTGCCCAACGCTGTGTGGAAGCTACCTGGTCTGTCCCTCCGCACGAAGCTTCAGGTCTTCTCGGCCACGATCATTCCCTCCCTTCTCTACACTTCAAAACGTGGACCCCCCTAATGGCACATCGTTGCCTGTTTGAAACAATTAGGCTGGCCTGTCTACAATCCATCCGAAGTTTAACCAGGCAGGATTGTGTGAGGAGCTCAAAAATCCTTGAAATATCTGGACAAAGTCTCATTGGTGGGCTGCTCCGTCAGGCAAGGCTGCATTGACTGGGTCATGTAGCTCACATGCCCAGCCACCGCATGCCTAAATAACTTTTGTTTGGCCGGATAGAGGGGGCTAAACAGGCGTGGCACGGGCTGGAGAAGAGATGGAGTGATGTGGTACAGGAGGACGTGGAGCTGATTGGACTTGCCGATGACTGCTACCAGTGGTGTCAAGATCGGCCTCTGTGGAGGAGGCTCGTAAAGGACGTTACTGGGCAGTTGGAGGCAATCTCCCTCCAACAACAACGGAGGGTGGAGGAGCGACGCTCACAACAAGGAGCAGAGCGCTGGGTGGCTAAAGCACAGCAAGTTGGCACAGTAGGGGGCACAGGTGGTGCATCAGCCAGTCGTCTCAGTCAGTCAACCTGTGGCACCTGGGTCTACCACGTGAGCTCCTGCTAGCGGGCGTTCAACACTTCACGTTGCCTCAATGTGCACATAGCCTGGCGCAAGCGTCGTGGTGACGTCACCGCCACTTAGTGGCGAATGGCGGTTGTTGTTGTTGTGTATGCGGAGAGGTAGTGGAGCAGTTAGCGCTATGCGCTACAAACCTGGCGACTCGGGTTCGATTCCCGCTCACGGTGAACACCATTGACGATTATCTTAACTGGTCCTGGGCCTTCCCTAGGTCAACTCAGCCTCAAATGAGTACCTGATGCGATGTGTAAAGATCGCTGCTGGGGAGACAAAGGCGGCCGGGCATAGTGTTGGCCACCCACCCCCTCGTGTGCTGTACCGGCCTTCATAGGTGCTGTCTAGAAGCACTTGCCCCAACAGTCTGTTAAGGCTATAGGGGGATCTTTCTCTTTTTTTGCGTGGTGCAGGCTGTGCGTGTGGTGCAGGATGTGTGTGTGTGTGGTGCAGGATGTGTGTGTGTGTGGTGTAGGATGCGCGTGTGTGTGGTGCAGAGCGGTAGTGCAGTGTTTAGCACACTGTGCTGTGGATTTACTCTCCAACAAACCGGTGGGCTGAAATAGTAACTAATTTGCACATTTTGCTTACGTGACAGACCTTACTGGCTGTGTCGGGTAGTGGAAGGTTACGACACATTTATACTTACGCGATCTAACCCGAAAACCTTTATTATGAATAACAGAACGCCCTTTCAACCACAACTATTTATGATGTTTAAAGATAGTTAAATAAACACACACACACGTAAGCATGGTGGAAGGATTGTAATTACATCAATACGCATCCACCACAGCAGTGCCGAGTGCACATGGAGCAGAATTTTTTTATCATGAAGTGGTCTGAGAAAAAAATACAACCACCACTAGTAGTGGAATTTTGACTTTACATAACTCAAATGAAATACCAAAATTCTGCGAAGACTTCGGAGTAAATTGCGCAATTCCTAGATAATTATTGACTGAAAACAAAATCTAAATCATTATTATCAGCCGTGGTCAATCCACTGCGGGATGAAGGTCTCCCAAAGTCGTCGCCATCTCTCAAGACTCTGCGATGTTATAATCCAACACATCACCAACCTTGGTAATCATCCAACCTTCCTGGCCAGCTGGCTCGCAAACATAATAAATAAATACATAGACGGCCATAACCTGTACTATTTCCTTAGAGTTTAGGTGCCCAAAAAACTAAATCTGTCACTGAAATCTGCCAGGAGAAGGTAGCAGTGGGCATGAGCTGGCACGTGCCATGCTGAGCCGAGGCAGACCTCAGGCTGATTAACACCAAACATAGTTGCGATGAAATCAAATTACGTGGCACGCACTAATATCTAAGCTCGAAGCTTTAACGGCACAATTCAGATGTCCATCGTTGATTGAGTGGTCGAGCAAGGTGGAACCGGCATTGGGCAAGGACACAACCCCCACTTTTCACTCAGAAAACCGGAGAGCACAGATTTAGCCACCTCTTGACTCATTGTTATAGCAAAAATCACATATATTTATAAACGCACAATTTAAAATAAATTAATAACAAATACGCAGTTAAAACAGGGGAATAATTCAAAGAGCATGTGTCTTTTTTACTTGACCCATCCCATCCGTTTATCCAGGAAAACCACACCTGAATCGTAGGATGGCTGCATTGTGTTTTCACTACGAGTTGCATTCAGCCAATTAACCACGATTGTTTATACACCGACAGGGCCGCTCATCTGGTACCAGAAGTTCGAGTACGCGGTAGGCCACTGGCTGCAGAAGACGGCCGAGCACGTGCTGGGCTGCGTTCTCTGCAGCCCTGGCTGCTTCAGCCTATTCCGGGCCAAGGCCATCATGGACGACAACGTCCTCAAGACCTACACCACGGTGGCCACCGAGGCCCTGCAGTACATCCAGTACGACCAAGGTAAGCGTCGACGTGTGTCTAGATCTCGCACCTCCGATTAGAGCAGTTGGCTACTGCATTGCGAAAGAAGTTCAACATGTGTACATGTCACGGTGGCGTAATGTTAACTCCCCTGCCTGGTATACAGGAGGTCGTGGGTTCCATCCCGACCCTGACACATGTATGTGTATATTGGATTTTGGGTGTCTCTCTCTCTCCCTGTGGTTGCGTGAATTTTTCTCCGGGCCTTCCGGTTGTTCCCTACACATTTAGAATCAACGTCACGCGCTTAGAACATTTGGCTGCCATAAAATTCCACATGATGAGTTACTTCGATGCACTGGCGGAGCCAGTGGGGTGGGGGGGGGTGGCACGTGCCCCCCCAATGATCTGATCGCAATCCCTAATTCGATCGGATCATTGGGGTTTTTAATAATAAATTCTACGAACATCCCGTCGACAAACGTGGACGTTGTATGTATTTAGAACGTCTTTTGCAACATAAATCGCGGTAATACGTGGGTCGAAACCCCGCAACATCAATTTCATACGTAGGCTTTCACAACCAATATTCATGATTCACAATGCGTTAATCCTGGGTTAGATGATCGTGTAGGTATAGTGTTAATTTATCTTAACTATAAGCGTCCACCACCCGACAGAGCCAATCCAGTAAAGTTGTTAGGTCATGGGGCAACTATGTCAATTGTTTTAGTTTAAGTATCAAAACCCGAATATTGAAAGGTAAGCAAAATATTGAGAATGTTTACATAAATCTAAAAATTATTTATTTACATTTAACTTTTTTAGAAAAAAAACTATCTGTTCCCATTTGCCCAATTGACAACTTGAATGACTCCGATATTATACCTGCACGATGATCGGACCCACAATGAACGAATCATTAATCATTAGAATGTTGGTCTCTGCCTTCTGAGTCTGACTTCTATGGACCGCTCCCCTCCCCACCACGCCCTCTGTATGAATGGGTTCACCACGCAGTTGATCGGGAGGTGGCATGTGGCGACTCTAAGGTTTGGGTATTCAGTTCTCTTTCCAAAACGTCTGGCGAACTTGCAGAGAGGAGGCCAAAAATATACCACGAGAGAGGGAATGTTGCCGAGCTCCTCTGCCAGCAGTGGAGTGAGCAAGCTGGGGAAGAGACGCACCTCCTGCAGCCTTCACGATCAATACAACATGCGCACAACGCGAATTTGACGAAATGTGCCATCGAGAACTCATAGGTGAAAGGTCAAAGTCCCTCATATACTGTACCACTCTGAACCAGGTGAGAGCCTGGACAGGTGAGAGCCTGGGCGGGTGAGATCCTAGACAGGTGAGAGCATTGACAGGTGAGAGTCGGCTTCCTGAAGGCGGATGATGGTGCTTGTTGCTGCTGCTCCTGCGTGTGCAGCAGCGGGAGATACAAAAAAAAATACAAAGAGAGAAATAATTGCAGACGGCTTCTGCCGGTGCAGCAACAGAGATACGCCGCTCAGCCAGGCTGTGGGTATGACGATACGGCTACCCTCTAACTCGCGGACGTCCCCTCTCCCATTTGTCGGTGCAGGCGAGGACCGCTGGCTGTGCACGCTGATGCTGCAGCAGGGCTGGCGCGTCGAGTATTGCGCCGGATCAGACGCCTACACCAACGCCCCGCAGGAATTCAAGGAGTTCTTCAACCAGCGGAGGCGGTGGGGCCCCTCCACGATGGCGAACACCTTCAGCATCCTGGAAAACGGCGTCCGCACGGCCAAGAAGAACCCGTCCATCTCTCGGCTCTACATTCTCTACCAGATCATCTACACGGCCACCTCCATCATGGGCCCGGCCACTGTCTGTCTCATGATTGCAGGTGACTTCGGGTTGTCACGTGTCCTGGGTTTTTTATTTTTTATTTATCCGGGTTCATCCTTTTGATGCAAGGACAGTATCAAAAGAGAGGGCGCCACGGTGGAGAGGCATTAACTCCCTCGCCAGGTATACAGGAGGTCGTGGGTTCTATTCTGACGCCTGTATATTTGGAATTGGTATGTCTCTCCTCGTGGTCGTGTTGATTTTTCCCCGGGTCCTCCGGTTTTTCTCTCCACGTTTAGAATCAACATCACGCGTTTACACTGTTTCGCTGCTATACATTTTCACGTGATAAGCCACTTTTTTGAGTTATCATTTGTGGCTAAGTTGCTTCTGAAAAAATAGCTACATAGCTCAGTGGGTTTATCTGGCATAATAACAATAGTTTGGTTTTTAAAAAAAAAGTTTACGTGGAACACTTCTGCTCACAGTCGTGCATGGCTTCATGTCATCATTCACAGTTGTTCCTGCTACGATATTTTTGATTGCTATATTTTCTGATAACAATCGTCCATCGTTGTGTGTTTAACGCACACAACCTAAAAATGATTGCTCGTGTTAATCCTCTCATCATAACGTATGCGCACTGCTTGCATGTTAATAATATTGTGAGTAGTATTGCTTGTGTGCCGGGGTATTCAAACTGCTGCATGTTTCTTTCAGCAAAATATTCTTTACACACAGGCTGCACGACTGTTAATCTGAGTGCACTCTTTACTTTACTGCTGGTTGGACGGTTGTCGTTGTCAATCGTGGTGGTGATGATGATGGTAGTGGTTATGATGATGGTGGTGGTAAGGATGGTAATGATGGTGATTATGACAGTGATGATGATGCCTATGATGGTGGTGATAACGATGATGATGGTGGTGGGGATGATGATGATGATGATGATGGTTTTCAGCTCGTGTGGTATTTGTCTCGTGCCGGTGCTCAGGTTGCTTCACTTTCGTTTTCAAAATGGACCAAAACTGGGCACTCCTCATCGCCATCATTCCGCCCGCTCTGTACACTGCCGTCTGCTTCAAGACAAAGCCCGACACGCAGATCAAGGTGGGCACCCACGCTTCTCCTGCAGCAGCACGCGGCACTCATTATACACAACGTGCTTTCCACAAATGAACCACAATGTATCTTGAACTTGCAATACCCATCAAAACACGTGCCAACGTCCCATTGAACAGTATGTTGCAATAATCGTGCCTTATCGATACGATGCTATACATCACCGTGGTGGTTATTTCACGACTCAATATTTGTCGAATGTGTCGTAGAGCCCTGATATGAAAATTACAGGACTTTACATTTTACACGCGGTGATCACACGACATATTCTGAGTACGATGCTGAGGCTATAGATTAATAGAAAACTGAATTCTGGAGTCTGCGACTGCCACATTTGATCCTCCCACATTTTCATTTCTTGCAAACCACACGTGCACTGCTCGCATGCAATCTTCGAGGTTGCCGAGGCTTTCCATATTTAACTTGGACTTCATTTTGGTTTACAATTGTGAGTCATCGGCATATTTATAGAACTTCATGTTACGCGGTGAGATGATATCAGCGATCAGATTGTAAGGGCCCAAGGATGGACCCCTGTGGTACGCTGACTAAGCACGGCATAGGAGATGACTTTTGTCACCCAGCTTGACGAACTGTAATCCACCATACAGGTATGACTCAATCTACTTCAGTGCCATACCCAATGCAGCGAACTTTGACCTTATCCGCTCAATGAGTATCTCATGGTCAATGGTGTCGAAGGTGGCTGAGAGATTGAGGCCAACCAATGCTGTGATGCACCAGTCATCCATGATCTTTTAACGATCAACAGTGACCTCTAGTAGAATCTTTTCAGGGCTGTGGAATTGTCGGTACGCCAACTACAATGGGTTTAATTTGCTCATCGCACTGACGTGGGGAAGTAACCGCTTCAGGCACAGGCACTCTATGACCTTTGAAATCGTACTCAGGTTCGAGATCGGGTGATAGTCTGGGTGGTTACTATGGCTCAAGCCAACTTTTTTCAGGAGCGGTGCTACCTGCGTCATTTTTCAATGGTCTGGGAAACAGCCCTCGCTGAATAACATATTTGCCAGGTGGACAATCAGCAGCACAAGTATGTCCAAGCATACTTTGAGAATCAATATCGGGATGTAGTCGAGTGGCAATGTCTTATTGGGAAGCCGTGCAATGAAAATTTACACCTCTGCTACCGAAGATGATGCCAGGGTCTCGAGTTTTGCATTGGTTTCAGGTTGGTCAAACTCAGATGACAGAGCGGGAGCATGCGTTGCCTGCAAGTTACAAACTGCCGTCTTAATCATTACTTTATTGTCAAAGAACGTCACAAGTACTGTGCTCAGACCGGGTTGACTGGTTGATGGGGTTGGAGTGCAACAGGCCCTTCACGACATGCCACAGAGCATGGGGTCGCGAGCCAACTCATTGATGCGCAGACCATAGAATGATCTGCGAGACTCAATAATGAGCTGGTTTGCAGATCTGCAGGCGGCTCTGTAAGCGAGTGTGACAGTCTGGAAAACAGTTTTCTTCCAAAGACTCCCCAGCCTCCTCCGCATCTGTTAAGCAGCGATTGCCTCCAGTGACAGTAAGTCACTTTGCGCGTTCTATTTGCGCTTTTTTGGATGGACACGAGTTAATCAAGAACAGCGGTAATGTCATTTTCTAATTGAGCTGCAAATTAATCGACCGTTGATGCAGTATTCAGATGCACCGATGATGACCGGATCTTGTGAGGGAAAGCATCGTGGTCCAGTCCTTTCCAGTCTCTCTATGATATCGTTGTGATGGGTGGGCGAATAATCGGTAATGCAACTTTGCACGTCATAAGACTGTGATCCGAATACCCACGTTCTCGATAAGAATGTTGGTCAACATTACGACATCTCCAAATGTGAAGATGTAATCCAGTATATTTCATGAGCGACGTATTTTGCCGCTGACGTGCTGGGTTAAACTGGCTGTTGAACATCTTGGCGAAATCACTGTTGATTTAACTACAAGAACCAGTCGGTCTGGCACAGTTCATTTCACCACAAATGATGTAGCGATAGCCAAGTGAGCCACAATCTACCAGACCAGAAAGCTAGGAAAGTTATTTGACAGCGGTGAAGACGATGGTTGTAGACGACAGTGATTGTAAGCCCCCGCTTGCTGTTCGTTATTTCATAAGCAGCAGCTTGAATGACATGATTGTTAAAGAGTCACTCAGGGCTTTCACACGGGTTTCTGCATGGTGATTCAGTACGATGCCATCACCATGTGGGCTGCTGGTGCCAGGCTTCCCGCGACACTGCTGATGTACAATAGCATATCCGTTAGGTGCAGCCTCACGCTTAATTACATCGTCATATATCCAGGTTTTTGGTAATGACGAATATGTCGAGTCTACAATCCTTGATCAGATCCTGGATCCGCACCGTCTTGTTAACTATGAAGCGTGCGTTGATCAATCTAGCGGCAGTGTTCTGACCACACCTGGACGCGTGTTCATTCTCTTGCTTTCACTTCTTTCAATGAGCTCCCAAACCTCTTGGGTCTTCCTTCCCTTGACCAATGAGCCATCATTATTTTGTTGTTGTTTGTAAAGTGCAGTGCCTTTAGAACCTTGTGGAAAAGTGCGGAATACATACAAAGCAACTTCCAATAAGTGATGGTGGTTGGACACAGAGGACGATGGTGACGCCGATGGCTAATGTCTCCTCCATCGTCCTGCAGTGGCGCTGCGATGGCAATATGTTAACTCCCTCGCCATGTATACAGGAGGTCGTGGGTTTGATCCCGACCCCAACGCCTGTTATATATTTGGAGTCTGTGTGTTCTCTCTCTCTCTTCCCTGCACGTTTAATCTGCGTTTAGAGTTTTTGGCTGCTGCTATACTTTTCCACATGATAATCCACTTCGTTGAGCTATCATTTGGGCCAGGTGGCTTCTGAAATAAGCTGTATACCTCAGTGGGCCTTACCTGGTAAACTAAATACATTTTATTTTTTGTTTAAGGTGGCCATGGTGCTCACCGTTGTCTACATGTTCCTCATGACGGGCACGCTGCTCGCTATGGTCGGCGACATTGTATTGGACGGCATGTTCACGCCCAGCGGCATCTTCTTAATCACGCTCGTGGCCATACACGTCATAGCCGCGGCGCTGCACCCTCGTGAGTTCTCCTGCATCGTGCACGGATTCTTGTACCTCATCTGCATCCCCACGGGATACCTGCTGCTGCTCATCTACTCGCTGGTCAACATGTACAACGTGTCGTGGGGCACACGCGAGACCAAGGCGCCTTCTGAGCCCGCCCCAAAGGAGGTGAGTTACTTTGCTTGTTATCGTTATTCTTGTCGTTGTTTTTGTGTCCAACGTTATTTGGAGTGTTGCTCCATTCTCCTCTGTTGCTCTGTCCCGCACCTCCGATGAGCACGATTAGCTACATACATTGCGAAAGAAGTGCAACATATGTCCCCTATCCCTCCCAAGAGAAAGATCCCCCGTGTAGCCTTGAACCGACTGTTGGGACATGTGCTGTTAGCGAGAAGCACCTGTGAAGGCTGGAATGGCACACAAGGAGATGGGTGGCCAGCACCACGCCGGCCGCCTTTGTCTCCCTTGTGGCGATGTTAACTAACCACCGCATTAGGTACTCATTTTGAGGCTGAGTCAATATAGGGGAGGCCAAGGACTGGTTCAGATGTATGTATGCTGTTGGTGTCGACGAGGAAGTCGTACCGTGGCTCGCATGAGAATGCAGTACGACAATTGTGGACGCTATCTGTTCCATCTGTATTGGACGGAATGTTTCTCCCTCACATTTTTGGGTTTTCTCCATGGTGCTCTGGTTTCTGCTTACCAGTAGACACAATGATTGCCAATAAAACCTTCATACATGGAGGACCGCAGAGGTCAGACAGTTATTGCCGCTGGTTCACCAACAGCTGCAGCTACTGTACCTTACAGTTTGTTTGCAATTTCTGCTGGATTGATATCGCTGAAGGACCTTACCAACACAATGCCCATCCCCCCTCCCAGAAGAAGAAGAAACGAATGCATCGTTGCAATGGTGCGAAATGCTGTGTGCTGCCACTCGAATGGGACTGCTTCCAGTGGAGGATCAGCGTCTATCCGCAGGAATACGCGGCGATGAGTCAGGAGGATGACACTTCAAGGTTCCACCAAATCACTCAGCCCCTGTAGCCATGCTTGTAACTTTGATCCTTACCTGTCGTGTATCGATAGTTCAATGTTTGTGCCATGTTATTGAGGGACTGTGTGTTATCTTGGTGTGATTTGGGACTGCCTTGCCCCAAGCTTGCATGTAGTATTGAAAAATCGGCAGTAACTGATGTACTTATGCAATTTGCACTCATATACTTTATTTTAATTTATTTATTTTTTCGTAATTTGCTTACCTTCCTATACTTGACGCTCCTATCGTTTTCTATATTTTTTGTTGTGGTAATTTTATGACCCCATGCCCCTACTGGACATCTGTGAACAAATATTCATTGCTCTTCGGATTCCTCCTGCAGTATAAATACAGATTCTGATTATTGAATGGCTATGGCGGGTGGAGGAGGGTTCATGACACAAAATTTTTCTCAAAAGTCAATGATGAGTCTTGTCTCAACGTATAGAATGTGATTCTGGTTGTGCTCGTATCTGTGGTGCCGTGGTGGTGAGATGCTAACTACCTCGCCTGGTATGTAGGAGGTCGTGGCTTCGATCCCAACCCTGACAATGCCTGATGCTTATGTGGAGTCTCCGTCTATTCCTTTCTCTCCTTATTTAGATTAATCATGCAATTGGAGTATTTGGCTGCTGGAATTTTCCACGTGATAAGCCACTTCATTGAGTTATAATTTGTGATAGTTCAAAAATGGTTTAGTTTAACAGTTTGTCATCATCCCTCCCAGCCAAGTGGAGTCGTGCGCGATGGAACTCGAAGGAGAGACGACGCTACGTCCACTCGAGGCGAGACAACAGGACACCACCAGCACTCAGATGGAGCATCTAGAAGGAGCAGAGAGCGAAAGTCGACCTCCAGATGAATCAGACACGGACCTCGCCCTTCAAGCCAAAAGTAATATTTTCATGAAACAAAGGCAAAGTAATTGCTTGTCAGTTAAACAAGACGGTTCATCTTAATGGCACGATGCGGTGACCGTCTTTGTTCAATGAGCGGATGAACGAAGTTCGTGTGATGGTTTATGCTCCTTGACGAGATCCGCAATGTATTGTGGTTCATTTGTGGCAAGCACTCTGTGTGTAATGAGTGCATGTCGCTGCTGCTGCAGTAGAAGCGTGGGTGACTGTATTCTCTTCCCCTATTCTGCATGGGCATCTTCCGGGTTCTCCAGTTTCCTCCCATGCGTAATTGGTATTGACCAAAATATAACAATCCTGAAAAAAAACATACATGCAAATCACTTAATTTGGATCACACTCAGCAGCAACATTACCCCTCTACTACGGTAACTTGGTCAGATCCTCATGAAGACAGAGCCTTGTGACTCGGCCAGGCTTTCTTGCAGGCTAAACCAGCCTAACGATAAGAATAATCACCAACGTGTAACCATCGTTGATATCCATGCAGCTCTCTCCACTGGGTCATGGTTAACTTTTGTTCAGGCCTCTGTGGGAGCGCACCACACATCGCTGTCCTCCTTTGTTCCTTGCAGGGTGCCATGACCTCGTGTGGCAGCGCCACCACAAGATGCAGGTCATGTTTGAGAACGTCCTTCCTCAGGGTTACGCTATCACGCAGAGGTGCTCCCTCGATGAGGTGGGTCCTTGTGTCTTTGTGTCTTTATGGCTGTGTCTTTGTCTGTGTCTGTGCGTCCGTGTGTCTGTGTGTGTCACTCTCTGCACGTGTGCTATGTATACATTGTGGGGAGCAGTGGCGCAGTGGTTAACGCACTGCACTTAGAATCTGGTGACCCGAGTTGAATTCTCGCTCACGGCCACCAATACCAGTGACGATTATCTGAACCAGTTCTAGGCCTCCCCTAGGTTGACTCAGCCTTAAATGAGTACCCGGTGCTGTGTATAAATATATCAACTGGGGAGACAAATGTGGTCGGGCGTGATACTCGCCACTCACCTTCTCGTGCGCCGTGTTGGCGTTCAGAGGTGGTCGCATCAAGCACTTTCTCCAACAGTCTGTTAAGGCTACACGGGGATCTTTGTCCTTGTTGTGTATAAGTGCCCAGAAGATAAGGACAAACATTGATAGAGACGGTAGTGAGGCTACTGCACTGCAGTTGTTGTGGAGGAAAGGTAATCGTCAGTGCTCAGCTTAGAAAGTACAGCAGAAGGTATTATTGGAATAGATGGTAGCAATGCCAGCGTGTGTTGTGTTCCGGGATGCGTGTTTAATAGGCTGCATACAAAGCCCTAAACATGTACTTTGTGTGCTTGCTTTACTTTGGTGCAGAAAATATTTCGTAAAACAAAGCCTGAGAGCTAATTGGGCCCTTCCCGTTGAAATACATTCATCAAAATAATATCAAGATGTTTACGCTTTATATTTTATATGAATGTTGGGGTTGTTGTACTAAGCAATGCAATGGATTTTAAAGTCATCATCTTAACCCCCCCCCCCCCCGCGGTCTGGCTCTTAATTGTTCAACGCATTGCGCAGTTGTCCAAATTTCGCTGACCAGCCAGTGTCGTTTTCTGTGACGATTAAACAAGTGACGCGGTCCTTCTAATTTGTGGCTTTGAGACAGTTTTAAAAAAGGGACCTTAGCACTAGTTCTGTGATATCCGCTGCCGTTGGGCCATTCTTGATCATGTAGGGCTTCACTGCATTGCTCTGCGAGAGTTCCACTTCCAGTTTTTATCTTATGCTAGGACACTACTAGCGCATTCCGGAAAACAATTCTGGGCAATGGGGAGGAAGTGATGTTAATATTCTGGAGGTGGTGGTGGCTACGCTGCTGCTAGACGTGGTTGGTGGATCACACACTGAGATGATGTGAATCTCCCTTCCTGTGGGCGTCAGAAAGGAGCCGCACCCTGGCTCGCCAGGAGAGGGCGGTACAAAAAAATGTGGAGTCGACTGTTCCGTCTCTATGGGATTGAGTGTTGCCCCCTCACATGCGTGTGTCTTCTCCAGTTGCTCTGATTTTCTGCCACATGTGAACCCTGATTAATTGGCCTAGAACACGTGTGTATACAGAGGACTGCATAGCGTGGGCAGTTGTTGATAGCACTGTCACATGGTGTGCATGGCTGCGGCCTTCCCATCTACTTGTGATTCCTCCTCGGTTTACTGAGTCGATCCCTATATCTCTCTTCGACAGCGAGCAAATAACTGTACAGTGGTGGGGAATTACATCTTAATAGTAATATTATTCATCGGAGTAAGTTGTTGTTATTTGGACAATCGCACAAAGTGAACCTTCTGTCCCGTGATCGGGAATTTATAGGAGGAAGACGAGTTCTGGAAGAGCATGATCAGCGACTACCTCAAGCCTCTGGAGGAAGACAACGATCACAAGAAACGTGTGAATCAGGAACTCTTCGAGATAAGAAACAAGGTACTGGCAACGCATCATCGCGAGTACTGGAGATGCTTCAATAACAGAAGAATCGCGTTCCACCGACACGTTGTGCGAACACCAGGCATTAATCGAGTGCTTACTGTACTTGGTATGTGCTAGAAGAAGATTTAAAGGACATTGTATTATGTATGACTTATTATTCTTACTATTTTATTGCAAATTATTCTAATCATTATTCTAAAATGTATAAACCATAAAAGAATAACAACATAAGTTACACATTGTTTTTTTCGGTAAAGTCACGAAGAAATACAATAAAATGATATTAAAACAAAAAACAATCACGACGTTTCGATCACAACGCAAGCGATCTTCATCAGGTGTCAAGAACAAATCACGGAGGTAAACACAACAAAAAGATGAGAGACGAGAATTCAACAAACCTGAAAAAACATTGTGAAGCACATCCAGTCAGGCCAACAACACAGTTAGACACTTCCTGGCGGACCACGAATTTCAGAAGAGTGTTTTAATATAATGTTATTGTATTTCTACATACGTGACTTTAACGAAAAAAACAATAAGTCATTTGATGCAGTCACGAAAGCTTTAATACTTTATTAATAACATAAGTTACAATTTGGTGTTGGGCAAAGACAATAGGGGACGGAATTAAACTCACAAAGAGGGGGTCCCTAAATAGCCTCGGGTTACCCCCTCCCCCCCCCCCCCCCCGGGCCAATGAATGTAAAGCAAGCCAGGTCTGCCTGTCCTAACGTGCAGGGCACGTTCATCTACTTCATGATCAACGCGCTGTGGGTGGTGGCGACCCTGGCGCTGCAGTTCGTGGGAGCTGACCTCTACATCGTGATCCCGAGCATGAAGAAAGAGGGGACAGTCATCAAAGTGCCGCCCCTCGCCTTCATGTTCCTCATCACCTCCGCCAGCATGCTCGTTATCCAGTTCCTGGCCATGCTGTACCACAGGTGAGGGGGTGGGGGGTAGACCCACGCGTGCCCATAGGAGGTGTGAGCGCGTGTCGACTCATGAACAACAACATTGGCGATTATCTGAACTGGTCCTGGACCTCCCACTCATGTGCCGTGCTGGCCTTCGTAGGTGCTACTCGCTGACAGCACTTGCCGAAACAGTATCTTAAGGCTATTCTGGGGATCCTTATCTTTGCCACTGTGTGAGTGTGGGCAGTGTGCTTATGACCAGCTCCTATTTGGCAGCCGATGTCTCACTCCGAATGAGTCGGGCAGCATTATCTTTTCATTTGGCTGCGTAACGGTGTGTGAAATCTACTTGGTCTGTCACTTGAAGCTCCAGGTTTTCTCGGCCACATTGATGCCCTCCCTTCTCTATACTTTTGAGAATGACGTGGAGGCCTCTAAAGGGACATTTGTGCCAGTTAGAAACATTCAGGCTGACCCTGCATACAATCCATTCCGAGTTTAACCAGACTGGATTGTGTGACGAGCTCGCATATTCTTGAAAGACCTGGACACATTCCCAACGGTGAACTCCTCTGGCTAGCGCGGCTGTGTTGGCTGGATCAAGTTGCCCCTATGCCCAGCCACCGCATGGTAAAGCGGCTTCTGTTTGGCTGCATAGAGGGGGCTAAATTGGCACGACATAGACTGGAGAAGAGATGGACTAATGCGGTATGGGAGGATGTAGAGCTGAGTGGACTTGCCAACGACTGGAACCAGTGGTATCAAGATCAGCCTCTATGGAGAAGGCTCGTGAAGGACGCTGCGGGGCAGTTGGAGGCAGTCACCCTCCAGCCACAATGGAGGGCAGAGGAGCAATGCTTACAACAACAGGCGGAACACCGGGCGGCTAAAACTCAACAAGTTGGCACAGTAGGGGGCACAGCTGATGCATCTGCCAGTCATCTCAGTTAACTATTGGCCCCGGGGTCTGTTGCATGACCTTCTGCCGTCTCGCCACCATGGTGCCCCTTGTGCCCCCCCCCACATCCATTCCGTGCCCCCACCCCCTCCACCCCCATGCAGGTTGTTCACGCTGATGCACGTGCTCTCCTATGTGGAGTCGTCGTCATCGTCGTCATCGTCGTCGCGGCAGCAATCGAGGAGCGGTGCTGTGGGCCGAGACAATGAAGCGTTCGTCAGTGAAGGAGACGGTGATGATGACACTCAGCAGTGCCGCCTCAGAGAGATTGTCTAACAGATCCCTGGACCCTTACTCGCACACTGTACGTGGACCCACACACGTCGTGGTTGGTCAATGACGGTGCGGTCGATGAAGGTGCAGCCCTGCAAGATTCTTCCCTTGTTGCCACCACTGGATGACGGGCCTCTTGCTACATGGAGCTCGAGAGAGAGCCCCTCTCGAGTGGTGTCTTTGGCCTACTCTTCCATGCTGGGCACAGACGTCTTGAAAGACGAGGGAGTTACCCATGCTTTACATCCACACAGCACGCGACCTGCTGATCGACCAACTGTGCTGTGTCCATTTACGTGGCTGAGTGGACAGAGGTGGCGAGATTTAAGACGCTTGCAGCAACATGGGACATTTCAGTGTCACTTCAACTTCAGCGGCACCACAAGTGCAGGGCCGTGTTAATTGCAGCATAGCAGCCTCTCATTACAATGGAATTCAGTCAAAAGAGCTACTGTTCAACAATGGTGGACATCTCTCGTAACATGGGTTGAAGTAAATGTAGGGGCTTTGAAGCTGCTCCTGGCCACATACAGGGAGTGAAGATGCATGCGCAGCTAGGAGTAGGGAATTCAGGTTTTGAGAATGAGCGACATCCCCGCTGAGCGGAGATTGACTGGAGGCTTCAGCATGAGGACTTTGCTGCTAGAGCAGAGAGAGTGCAGATGGAAGGGGAGAGGGAGGTAAATAATGGTTAAGTCCCTAGAAGAGTGTGAAGAGTATCAGTGAGACCTTGAGGTTGACTTCGGATAGGGTGGGGAGCCAGTTGAGGGATTAGTGATGTGGGCTCGTTTATGCGTGAGGTGGAGATGTCTTAGGAGGCATCAGCAACCATTGCCAGCGACGATTATTTTATTTTCAATGTATAAAAGTGCGAGTGGTATTCTCCAATAGAAATTGATATCCGATACATAATGCATGTGGTCATTTATTTGCTCACAATTATGTTTCCAGTTCGACAAAGGTTTGATTCTCATCAGATAAAGACGGCGCTTCTATGTAGCAGTGATCAGATGAAGGAAACGTCATGTTCTTGTATGTATGTATGTTGAACATATTTTGCACCGCACTTAGCCAACCATGCTAATTGGGGATGTAAACATCACGCACACCTAGACTGGTCCGTTAACCATAGTAGTCAATGCAATAACATTTGTATGCCTGATTAATTTAAATGGTTAGCAACCAACATGGGAAATCTTGTTTTTAGAAAGGTTTCTCTACCAGACAACACTAAACAAGATCCTCCGTTTAGATTTAATAGACTTATCGGGCTGTTAGTGAGCACCTATAATGGCCGGCATGACACACAGGGAGGTGGGTGGCCAGCACCAAGTCAAACCGCCTTATTGCACCAGGTACTCATTTGAGGCTGATTCGACCTAGGGGAGGCCCAGAACCGGTTCAGATAATTAATTAATCGCTACTGTTATTGGTGGCCATGAGTGGGAATAAAAGTCTGGTCGCCAAGTTCTTAGCGCAAAAGACAATGCATAGCACATACTATTTTGAATACTTGTGCAGGGCTATGAAGATGCGTTTTATTACATTTAATTATTGGCCATATATATGTCTATAAACCTAAGTATATTTATTGGTATTCATAATGTTATTTCATTACAGAGATGTAGAGTTACATTGAGACTGTATAGATACGTAAAACAAGATACAGAGAAGAAGCAGCCAGGCAAAAGAACATTCATTAAACAATGCCATCTGTTCAGAGCACCACGTTCAGATAGTTTCCCCAAAATATTGGATTACAGAAGTGAATACATGATTTTAATGCCAAGGCAATGATTTTCTGCTAATTGCCACCAAGAATGTCATCTCCCTCGCCCGGTACACAGGAGGTCATGGGTTTAATTGCCGGAGCCTGGCGATGCCTGCTGTTATACATTTGGAGTCCGCGTTGTTCTCTCTCCCTGTGGTGGTCGGAGCTTGCATTTTTCTCCACGTTCCTCGGTTCAGATTATTTGGCTGCTGCTACAAATGTCCACGTGTGGTGATATCAGTCACTGCGGTCATGAGCTATGGCCAGGTCACCTATGAATGACAGCTCATAGTGCAGTGGACTTTAACTGGTAACTGGTAAATATACTGTTGATTCCCTTGCAGGTTTGGATCGTTAAGCCAAACGCTTAACGATCCAAACCTTTGAGCTCTATACTTCAATGGGCGCTTGTAGCGCTTACGCACACGCCAAGCTCTCTGTGTCTCTCTAATGGATGCGTTGTTGTGCTCTTCCCGTGGCACAGAAGACATTCGTAGTGAGCGGCTAAACGTGCACTCCTCCCCCATTCCCCCTAGTGGAATGTAGGTTACACTCCACTGCTTAATAATACATCCCGATAGGCTCTTTTGAATTTACAACGTCGCGATTCATAGCTTTTGTTCAACGTGACCAGATAATGTTTTAGTTTATGGCAATGAGAATAAGGCTCGTTTGTCGTAGAACATATTTGCACAATGCTATTTAAGTATATTACCATGAAATGTGCTAAACGGCACGTACTGATTATATACATATTCTTGGTTCTTTCGGTAAAGTCACGTAGATAGAAAATAAAAAATGAACATTTAAGAATAAAAGCAAAAGAACACGACGTTTCAATCGCAACACAAGCGGTCTTCATCAGGCGGAGAGAAAAGAAGAGGCAAGTCTCCAAATGCAACTGCTTATAATGAGGGCTTTCATAGTGAGCAAAGCTGTGCGGCGTAAACAGCATGGGCGTGGCAGCCAGTGCTAATGTAGGAGTAAAGCACGAGGAGTAGGAGTAAAGCATGAGGAGTAGGAGTAAAGCACGAGGAGTAGGAGTAAAACACTAGGAGTAAAGCACGAGGAGTAGGAGTAAAGCACGAGGAGTAGGAGTGTAGCGAGTGTGTTAGAAAATGGAGGGAGGGAGGGAGTAGAGATAGGGGGAGAGAGATATATACAAGTGTATATAAAAACACTTTATATTCTTAGCTCTTTTGGTAAAGTCAACGTGACTTTACCGAAAGAGCTAAGAATATGAATTACTGCAGTCACGAAAGCTTTAAATCTAAATTTAAAAACACTTTATTGCCTGTTTTTGTTTTATTTTGCACTAATAAAGTTTACTGAACCTCTGTTGTGCCGTTATCAGTCATGTATTTTCGACTCCTTGCAAAGAGATGATGGCACAGCCCTTCAATGAATCACCCCTCTGGGCGATTGAAACAGCTTGCCACCTACAGATTGCGCAACAGCGCCCCACACGACTTCCAGCGGCGTTTTGAACTCGTTCATTGGTGTAATTTGCATTGTTACCTGTGTAGTGGGTTCACGGGACACAGAGACGGTGGAGTAGAGGCAGCACTTTATTTAACTTAACAAGGGTTACACTGGAAGGGGTAACGGCCCCTTCACCCGTATACACGCTGGGACACCCCTAGGCTATCTAGCTTAACTCTTGCGCTCCCAGTTCCTCCAGCTACAGGCGCTAGAGGAGGCTATCTGATATGGCCCTGGTCAAGCACATCACGGCACCCCACCAACCAGACCGACCCTTAAAAGTGCTCCGGCTCTGAGGCTCTGGGGCCGCACCACTGGCTTACCCTGCCGGCCCTTAAAAGGACTGCAGTCAAGGAAGTCCCAGGGTCTATCTAGCCGACCTTCCTTCTTCACTGGTTCTTCATTCTTGGCCCCAACATACTGCCCCGAGCTCTATGGCTCCCCGCCCTTTATACCCATACACCACTGAGGGCGGGGCTATAGTGGATGTGGTTGTAGCCACCAAGGTGTGGCTGTGTGTTACCTTCCCACACTGTGTTACCTTCCCACAACACCCGTACATCACCCCCTCCTGTACAGCCCACAGCCGTCCCGGCTACAACAATATTGAACAATAACAACGCAACAAAACCTCGAACCGTGTGTGCCTTATAACAACCAAACGCCCCAATAAATAACCCAACCCACCTATACAAAGATACACTATATACAGCAAATACATTCCCCCCCCCCCCCGCATTCAACCCGAGACACCCATCAGCGCAGCAAAAGGAGACGTAACAGGTGAGTAGAACAGTGTGAACCGAACAAGCGCAACCAGAAGGTAATATTACAAAAACCGGCGCGTTTTGGCGCGAGTCCGTTTTGCGGGGCCATCGTAGGTGGGGGGGGGGGGGGGGGAACCGGTCGGGCCGGCGGTGGGTGCTGTCCGTTCGGGTTCGCAACCCTCCGGCATCCCGGGAGTAGAAACCCCATCCCCGCCGGGTGGCGCAGACGGCTGGGAGGCCGTCATTCTCGAGGCAACTGAGGATGGGACAGTTAGTGGCATATCAAGGGCAGGCGGCGAAGTCGCCATCCGTGAGTCAGCGGATACATCACATGCTTGGCCGGTGTAATGTGGTGGAGGAACGCGCAGTGCCACAAATGGCTTCAGGCGCGAGGTGTGTACATACCAGCGACGTTTCCCCCACTGAATACGAATACACTGTGGCCGCATGACCTGCACAATTTCCACAGGAACCCTCCATGGCCGCAACAATTTCGCCGAGGTTGCCAACGGTACTTGAGGGCAGAGCAGCCAGGCTCTGTCACCCGGTCTCCACGCATGTGTGCGTGACTGGCGCACCCCAACTCTCGTTAGCCTTCTGTCGGGAATTAGAGTTTTGGGTAGCTGCCTCTCGCGCCTCGGTCAACCTCAGGATATTAAATTTGACATGGTCAGCCAATTTCAATTTTTCGTTTGGTTTGGAGACCCGCAGCTGAGTCTCAATAGGTGGATCAAAATCGCGACCGTACATTACAAAGAACGGCGAGAATCCGGTCGTCGTGTGAGGAGCCATTCTGTAGGCAGCCAAAACTCCCAGGATCTGAAGGTCCCAATCGGTCTGGGAGTCACACACTTGGTGACACAACATGGACGTGAGGGTCCTATGAAGGCGTTCCACCATTTCATCCGTTTGCAGGTGATAGGGGGAAGTACGGATTTTTTTGTACCAAGAAGCGCACACACCTCGTGCAGAAGGACGCCAGAGAAGTTTTTCCCTTGGTCAGTCAGCAGCCATTCGGGAGCACCTTTGTCGAGGACATAGCCCTGGACAAAGGCCTCGGCGATGGCTGCTGTTGATTGGTTGGCAAGGGGCCATGCCATAGGCGATCGAGTAAAGTATGTTAGCCAATCAGCAGGTACTTATTACCCCTAGGGGTCGCAGGGAAGGGCCCCAATATATCGAGTGCGACGAGTTCATTAACTCGAGAGACCCTAATAGATTGTATTGGTGGACAGGCACCCCTCGCTGGTGGCTTCCGTTGGGCGCACTGAGTACATGCACCCAGGAGGTCATCCACATCCCTTGCCATGCCCGGCTAGAAGAAATCCAGCTGGAGCATGGCAAAGGTCTTGTGGGTCCCTAAATGCAACAGTCGCTCGTGAGCAGCCCACTCGGCCTTACCCCGCAGAGCAGAAGGTACCACCTGCCTGCAACGGTGGGGCCTTCCCATCCCAATGCATAAGAAGCCCCTGGTGCAGCCCGAATGAATCAACCCCCGTCACCCCCCCCCCCCCATGGAACCCCCTGTGCGACGACGCAACGCGAGGAGGGACGCGTCCTCCATCTGGAGGCGCCCCCATTCCGTAACAGACAATCCCAGCAAGGAGTCTCCTCCCCCCTGCTCGATAGGACCCGCAGACACAGGGTCCTCGGTGGCGACAGCAAGAATCGGAACATTTAAAGTGGGGTGGTCATCCGGCGGCTTACAACGCCCCGATCCTATGAGACAAGCGCAATCTGAGGCAGGGGGCAGGCGAGCCAACGCGTCCGCATTAGTGTGTCGAACACCCTTCCGATATGTGGTTGTGAAATCATAGTCCTGAAGAACCTCGAGCCATCGAGACAATTGCCCCGAAGGCTGTTCCACCCGCAAGGCATATTGCAACGAGGCATGGTCTGTATGGATGGTAAAGTGCCGGCCATACAGATATGGCCAATATAGTTGTATAAAAAATACAATGGCTTACAGCTCCCGACGGGTGACGCAGTGTCTCTGCTCCGCCGGAGACAAGACCCTACTGCCGTAAGCCAAAACGTGCTCCAGACACAACCTGCGAGAGCACACCCCCAATACCCGTATTGCTGGCATCTGTATCGAGTAGGAAGGGTTCGGAAAAATCGGGGTAGCTCAATGGTGGGGCCCCCACGAGAGCGTTGTGAAGGGAACGGAAAAAGATCTCCTCGACCTGGCCCCAGTGAAATTTCACTCCCTTTGCCGTCATGGCATGTAAAGGTTTAGCAATGGTCACGAAGTCCGTAACGAACCGCCGGTAATAAGATGCGAACCCAATGAAACTCCTGACCTCAGCCACT